GTTTTAATATTGTTGACTGGTTTATTTTCCGGGTTTTTAATACCTTTATTGGATTGTTTTTCAAAATGGTTTAATATTTGTTTTTCTCTCCAGGTAGTGTGACTCCAGGTGACCACTGGGGGTGTGTCAGTGGTGCACTGCCAGTACTGGTCATTGTTGTGGTGTTTCCCCCAGGGGGGTGGCACGTTTCCGACTGTTTGTTGTGGTGTGTTTTATTCCAGGATGGGGGGCATTACCATACTGGGCTTGTTGGGTGTGTTCACTCCCAGGAGGGGGACGACCAGTATTGTGTGTTTTTGGTGTGTTCTCCAGGATGGGGGCACGACCCTACTGTCTTTTTTGGGTATGTTCACTCCCGGATGGGTGGCCCCCCCGTCCCCTACTCTCATTGTTATGGTTATTTAGTCCAAAATGAGGGCACTGACCATATTTTCATTGTTGTGGTGTGTGGGTGGGGAAAAAGGGGTCGGGGGCAGTATTGAGGGTGCAGGTGTGAGGGTGGGGGAAAAGAGGGGTGTCGGGGGCAGTATTTAGGGGGGCACGTGTAGGGGGGGGAAAAAAAGGGGCGGGGGCAATTGAGGGGGGCAGGGTGAGGATGGGGAAAAGGGGTGTAGGGGGATATTGGGGTGGGGAAAAGAGGGGTCGGGGAGTATTGGGGGGGGGAAAAAAGGGGGGTTTGGGGGCTATTGAGGGGGCAGGTGTAGGGGGGGAAAAGAGGATGTCGGGGGTCAGTATTGAGGGTGGGAGGGGTCGGGGGGGAAAAGAGGGTGTCGGGGGGGGTATTGAGGGGGGGGAAAAAAAGGGGGTCGGGGGGGAGATTGAGGGTGGGGAAAAGAGGGTGCGGGGGATAAAGAGGTGGGAGGGGTAGGGGGGAAAAGAGGGTGTCAGGGGGAGTATTGAGGTGGGGAAAAAAGGGTGTCGGGGGCATTTTTGGGGTGGGAGGGTGGGGGTGGGGAAAAGAGGTGTCGGGGGGGAGTATTTAGGTGGCAGGTTTGAGGAGGGGAAAAGAGGGTTCAGGGCAGTATTGAGGGGGAAAAAAGAGGGGGGTCGGGGGCAGTATTAGGGGGGGAAAAGAGGGTGCGGGGGGGTATTGAGGGGGCAGGTGTGAGGGGGGGGAAAGGGATGTCGGGGGCAGTATTGAGGGTGGGCAGGGTGAGGGGGGGGAAAAGAGGGGCGGGGGGGGATTTAAGGGGGGTGGGGTATCCTGGGGGGGGATAAAAATGGGAAAGGGATTTTCTGAAAGGTGGGTGTTTTGGGGGGTGGGAAATGGAGGCAGCGGGGGGGGGGGAGGACTTCTGGGGGCAAAAATGTAGTGGGGGATGTGATCGAACATCAGCGGGTAGCGTCTTTTCCTCATGTTTGTTACACCTGCCCATTACACTGACATCTTTTACCACCGCCACTACACCATTACCACCACCACCAGCACCACTACCACCATTACCACCACCACAAATCAGCACCACACTCCCAAACCACCACCAAGGCTTTATTTTTTCAGCAGGGGAAAAGAGATGTAGTTATAGTGGAATGTATCAGCAGTGGTATAAGATTTTAACAGGCAGTGCTATAAGGTGTATCAGCAATAAAAAGTGTTGCTGTGTAGTAACACTCCGTTTTATAAGGACACAACAAACAGGGGTTAGGTTAAAAAGGACATTAACACCCCGCGTAGTGTCCGTGGGTCCCGGCTTGGTCTTACAGAAGCGGCAACCACAAGTCTGATCTGCCCGCTATTGCCTGCTGTCTTTTGTGGCAGTAAGCAGGGCAATAAAGAGGCCGGGGCCCCCGGGAATCCTAGATTTTCCCAGTTCAAGGGGATTTTTGGGGTGGCGTGTGCAGGAGGGAATTTGGGTTGGAGGTTAAAGAAGGCGTGGGAGGGAGGGCGTGGGAGGTATATACAATACCTGTGACCAAGTTTTTCTTCATCGTAGCCCGGCCAGGAGCCAGGGTTTTTCTGCTGGGTTTCCTGTTTAACCAGGCTGTTGCTGCTAGTGGGGCCTGCTGGCCCACATAGCTGTCACGGCCTGGTTGATCTGATACTTAACTGATATCAGCCTGTGGGGGCTGAAGAATCTTGGACCAAGGATGTTGATAATGTGTTCTCTTAATGTGCTCTTCACTCCCTGCTTTTACAGGGCATATTTACACTTTGGTCCCATATCTTGACTTCAGTATGTTGTTAAGGTAGTGTGTAGTTTGAGACTGATTCATCATCAAGGGGATTACTTATATATTTTTCTTGGCTCACAGAGTACATTTATAACTATAAATAATAATTAATTAATAATAATAATAATAATAATAATATAATAATTAATCTATTATTTCTGTAAGTAACAGTATCAAACTTATACAGACCTCATAGCTGACATTGTTGAACATACATACTATGGAAAACAGTTCGAACAACTTGGGTCGTTAATTTTTGTCTCCAGGATGCGACCCACCACAGGTACCTATTTTTAGGATAGGTAAACATGGACAGCAGGTAAACTTAATTAAGGAAAAACGCCCAGTGTTTTCCACCGTACCGGGGATCGAACACGGCCACTCAGTGTGTGAAAACTGAATGCGCTACCAACCCAAGCATCCTGTACTTCCAATGCCTTTATTGAATTCACGCGAGGTGTGATGATCTCATGTGCCCTTTTTCAATCATCAAGTAATTTGAATAGTGTCACATTGGTGTATTTTCTCTGTATCCACTCCGTAATTTTTTCAGCCGTCTACGGCTTGCATTTTTGTATTTCTTTAAACCAATGTGTCATTGTTATACCCAGGTCTCTCTGCACGTTTCCTTGTTCTGTGTTGTTAATCCTGTGTTTTGTAACTAGTGCTAGGACCTCTAGCTATCACTCTTTCTGTATGCGAGTGGTTGGAGTCTGTCACAGTAAACATCGTCGATGGCAGCTTGTGATGGGTGGTTGGGTTGTCATGTAGTTTGTGAAGGTGGTTGGGTTGTATGGTAGTTCGTATGAGGTTGGTTGGGTTGTAAATGGTAGTTATGTGAGGGTGGTTGGGTTGTATAATGGTTGTTTTGTGAGGGTGGTTGGGTTGTATAATGCGTTGTTTGGTGAGGGTGTGGGTTGTATAAGGTTGTTTGATGAGGGTGGTGGGTTGTATATGGTTGTTTTGTGAGGGTGGTTGGGTTGTGTAAGGGTTGTTTGTGAGGGTGGTTGGGTTGTATGGTAGTTTGTGAGGGTGGTTGGGTTGTATGGTCAGTCTTGTGAGGGTGTGGTTGGGTTGTGATGGTAGTTTTGTGAGGGTGTTGGGTTGGTATGGTAGATGTTGTTGGAGGGTGGTTGGGTTGTTATAATGGTAGTTTGTGAGGGTGGTTGGGTTGTATATATGGTGTTTTGTGAGGGTGGTTTGGGTTGTAATTAATGGTAGTTTGTGAGGGTGGTTGGGTTGATTTTAATGGTTGTTTGTGAGGGTGGTAGGGTTGT